GAGGATGACTTGCTTGCCCTCCTTTTGCCAGGCTTCAGCGTCATCGGCACTGAAGACGATCTGACCAATAGCAGCTCCCGGGGAAGCTGGAAGTCCGGTGGCAACCACTTGGTCCTTGTACGCAGCAGGGTTTTTAAACTGAAAAAAAGCGCAATCGAGCAGTCACATGAACAGAAAGACGGAACGGAAATAAGTAAGTAAGAATTATCAAAAAGAAGTTAGTACGAACGTGATTAAAAAAAGTATTAAAAACTTGATAAAAACTGTGCATTAACGCAACACAGATATATTTGTGCACCTGATTGAAGGAGAACCCTTTCTGAAAACAGAAGAAGAAAGCAAGTATGTATGTGAAAACATGAAAAAAGAGAAAGCAAGTATGTGAAAACAGACAAAGTAAGCAAGCATGCGAAAAGTTGAAAACAGAAAAAAGAACGCAAGTACAAGATATCAAAAAGTGCCAAAAAATGTCCTTCTGGACATCCCTTAAAATTGGAACGATACAGAGAATGAAGATTAGCAGGGCCCCTGCGCACGGATGACACGCATTAATCGAGAAATGGTCCAAATTACAAAAAAAAAAAAAAAAAAAAAAAAAAAAAAAGTGCCAAAAACAGAGAAGACCGATGCTTCATGCAGGAATGTCCAATCAAATAGGGAAACACAAGAGTACAGTCAAGCCCCTTCACCCCCTCTCCTTCTTCCAGTTTGCAATATCGCGTGTGCTGCCTAACATTCCGATTGCAGGCAACACAAACTAGGCTACCAAACTCTAGGTGTTAAAAACACCAGTACATCCGAAAAAGCAGATTGAGCCTCTCCTACAAATTTCGAGGCCATGGACTGGTCGATAAAATGAGCCGGCGGTTCATGGCCTCCTTTTTTTTTTTTTTTTTTTTTTTAAATGGCCTCATGGCCTCCTATTTTTAGAAGAGGATCAATCTCCTTTTTTGGATGTACTGTTGGTTTGCAGTTTTAATTTTGGAACCACCAATTTCCTCCGAGCCCCCTTTTCCAATTTGCAACTTTGCCCATCCTTAAAGTACCAACCTGTTGGTTCATATCCTACATTCCAGAAATTATGCAATAATAAATATGATTAATAATGAATAATAATAATTAAAGTCATAAAACAGAGTTCTATCCTGGCTCAGAATCAATGCTGGCGACATGCTTAACACATGCAAGTCAAATTGTTTCTGAATCTTAAAAATGAATCCAAAACTTTAGGATATCGTGGTACAACTTGTTAATGGGCAGGTGCGCGCAAGGTAGCCGGCCTCGATACTCATGGTTTTAACTCCAGAAGCAGCATATCGACAAGATAAAATGAGCCGGCGGTTCATGGCTATGGCGATGTTGTTGACGAAAGCTGTACGACCACACAATGGCTATGCAGATCTCAACTGTATTACGATCATGCAATGGCGATGGGAAAATAATCGTGTGGCAGTATC